CCGGATGATGATCCGACCTAAAATAATATTGCGTGATTTTTAATGAGAAATTTTTTGAGGCTTAATTCGTGGAGCGAAGACTTGTTTTGTAGCCCGGTGCGAAAGACATATAAAAACCATTACTTTGGTAATTAAGGTTTGATCAGAACTGTATAGTCACTCTCTGTATTCCATCTTCTCTATATAATAAAATTCCTGCAGCGTTGTAGACGTAGATAAATTGTCGAATCATATAAAATCTGTATGTCTTATTTTTTCTTATTTCTCACTATTTTATGTTTTTAATTTATTTTTTGATTGTGTGTGTTTGTTTATAGATTTAAAGTACATTAAATCCCAACAGAAACATCGGAAGACACCTGTCTCTAAGCAACTCAACATAATAGCCCGTAATACCTTTCGTTTCTATTTGCCTTTCCATTTCTATGCCTTCCATCAGAACCAAACATGATCAGGCTGGTTAAAATCAAAGAGTTCAATTTATATGTTTCGTTGCTGAGATGGACCTCACCTTAGCCCATTCGACTTCCTCAGCTTGGGCCTAATGATAATCCACACCCATATGCAAAACCGATAATTCTGAATCCTAAAGGGGGCCGGCCCAATTACTTCGTGCTCTATGCCCCATACTCTTTTTCGAGGCCAGTCGTTAGCCTCGGTTTGTTCCAAGTGTTGGCCTGCATGATAGATACCTTGTAGGGAGGGAAAAAAATAAAAAAGTAGCTAATTGCATGTGCGGCCAGCTATAAACCACTGATTTCATAAGAAAGCGACGTATCTGTATCAGACACGTGTTGGATATCGATATTTTTCAGGCACTCTCGAGTACATGTTTGATACTTTTTGACTTGTCCGATATTTCTTTAAAATGGGTCTACTATTAAATTATAAATAAGTATTAACATGTGATTAACAAGCTAAAAAATTTGACTATTAAGTATCTTATAGTCTGAAAGAATATATAATTATTAAGACTACATATATTTAAGTTGTATTCAAAATATAATAACAAAAACAAAAGATACATAAAAGATTTAGAAAAAAAACAATTGAGATGAGAGTAATCATTTAAATTATATATGTATAGTACATGTATACGAAAAAATATTAATAATTATTGATTATTATGATCATTATCATTATATTTGTGATAAATTATATTATCTTATATAGAAAACACAATTATCTATAACGTTTTCTCAATATGTTCGTGTCCTAATTTTTTTAAAAGTATAATGTTTACGTGTCCATACCTTATTTATATTCGTGTCCATACCGTATTTATATTCGTGTCCGTGTGTCGTATCCGGCCAGTACTTAGCATGCATCAAGACATCCAAAGATGGAAGGTGCACAATCATTTACAGGCCACTGTCTTCCGAAGGCTTTGCCCATTTTACGATTCTTGTGATGCAAGAGAACGATAGTGGTGGTCCAATTACAATAGAAATTAGAAAGGCTAGTTTTTTTTTTTTTGGGGGGGTGGGACCAAACCCATTTTCACATTTTCGGGTCCACAAGCGTGGGCTTGCAAAATGAACTTGTCTCATTTTCTGCAGACTAAGTTTCCAAAGAGGACCCCAAATCAAATTGGATGCATCAGAAGGTCCAAGTTAAGAATGAGTGTCCATGGCAATACCCACCAGTCATCATCGCAAAATTATTGAGAAGCATGAATCTATATGCATGTCTTCTTCTATGCCTGTTACTTCAGCGCAGCTCACTGTATTCNGATTTTATAATAGAACTTACAGATATTAGGGTGTGAAACAGTCTTGGTGCAGTAGTAAAGTTGTTTAATTATGACCCGAATGTCATGAGAGTGTCAAACTCAATTTCTCTATATTCGAAAGTAAGACGACACAAAGTTTACCTTATCCAAGCATTACAATCGAGCAAATCTCCTACATTGGGCTGCATTTAATACAGAATGTGAGTGTGTGAAGAGTCGCTTTGTGTTCTGGCATTGATATCTTTTGATAATTTTGATTAAGAGGAAGCAAACTGGACAGGGGCTCATTCCGTCATGGGCAAGGGCAAGCAAGTCTTTTCAGCTTAATTCGTCTCAAGCCAGAAGCGAAGGTCCATGTTTACATTTCTTCTCTTATCTGCACAACTGAAGTGGCAAATGTTACCTTAAAGCATTTGTAGAAAATGTGTACTAATTTACAGCAGTACAAGAATTAGGGTCTTTTTAGATAAATTTTTTGTGATGGTTGTANTCATGTTTACATTTCTTCTCCTACATTGTTCTACATAAAGATCTGCACAACTGAAGTGGCAAATGTTGCCTTAAAGCATTTGTAGAAAATGTGTACTAATTTACAGCAGTACAAGAATTAGGGTCTTTTTAGATAAATTTTTTGTGATGGTTGTATTCATCGTCATAAAAATTTTATTTCGCAGGAAAAAAAGTTTACTGTGGCAATAATACTATTATAAAAGGTTTATTTGTTGTCACAAATATTATTTGAGACAGTCACTACCATCATAAACTTTTTGAGACACTACTTATTATGCCATCATAATATCTCGCCGCAATAACTGGAATCTCAACAAGTTTTTTTAGCTGCAACAGCTTGTCTCAAATATTATCTTGACAGTATTATCGCCACAAAAAAAAAAACATTTTTTTCTCCAAAACACAATTTTTTTGTGATGGTGAATACTGCCACCGCAAAAAACTTGTCTTAAAAAGATCCTAATTCTTGTAGTGCAGTTATTTTCTTTTGCNGACTTTTTGAGGCACTACTTATTATGCCGTCATAATATCTCACCGCAATAACTGGAGTCTCAACAAGTTTTTTTAGCTGCAACAGCTTGTCTCAAATATTATTTGCGTTAGCAAATAAATCTTTTATGACAGTATTATCGTCACAAAAAAAAAAAAACATTTTTTTCTCCAAAACACAATTTTTTTGTGATGGTGAATACTGCCGCCGCAAAAAACTTGTCTTAAAAAGATCCTAATTCTTGTAGTGCAGTTATTTTCTTTTGCTGTTCTCTAATTCATTTTCCTGCATAAAACAGCTACAATGAAGTCAAGTGGAAACCACTGTATTAGCGGGTTTTCAAGAGAAAAATAAAAGAAAAAACTATTAAAGGGAATCTTGGACATCAAAGACGTTCATTTGAGCTTTGATAAAGTAATAAAAATATTGCTCCCCCTGATGTTCTTCTGATAAAATCCTATCTCTCTATTGATTAATCTGTGTGATCTTTGTATTTGTCACAAGTTCATGAATGTAACAAGAGTGAGGTAACTGTTGGGTATTTGTGGAGTTAAGTTTGTGTGGTTTGATCCGGATGATGATACGACCTAAAATAATATTGCGTGATTTTTAATGAGAAATTTTTTGAGGCTTAATTCGTGGAGCGAAGACTTGTTTTGTAGCCCGGTGCGAAAGACATATAAAAACCATTACTTTGGTAATTAAGGTTTGATCAGAACTGTATAGTCACTCTCTGTATTCCATCTTCTCTATATAATAAAATTCCTGCAGCGTTGTAGACGTAGATAAATTGTCGAATCATATAAAATCTGTATGTCTTATTTTTTCTTATTTCTCACTATTTTATGTTTTTAATTTATTTTTTGATTGTGTGTGTTTGTTTATAGATTTAAAGTACATTAAATCCCAACAGAAACATCGGAAGACACCTGTCTCTAAGCAACTCAACATAATAGCCCGTAATACCTTTCGTTTCTATTTGCCTTTCCATTTCTATGCCTTCCATCAGAACCAAACATGATCAGGCTGGTTAAAATCAAAGAGTTCAATTTATATGTTTCGTTGCTGAGATGGACCTCACCTTAGCCCATTCGACTTCCTCAGCTTGGGCCTAATGATAATCCACACCCATATGCAAAACCGATAATTCTGAATCCTAAAGGGGGCCGGCCCAATTACTTCGTGCTCTATGCCCCATACTCTTTTTCGAGGCCAGTCGTTAGCCTCGGTTTGTTCCAAGTGTTGGCCTGCATGATAGATACCTTGTAGGGAGGGAAAAAAATAAAAAAGTAGCTAATTGCATGTGCGGCCAGCTATAAACCACTGATTTCATAAGAAAGCGACGTATCTGTATCAGACACGTGTTGGATATCGATATTTTTCAGGCACTCTCGAGTACATGTTTGATACTTTTTGACTTGTCCGATATTTCTTTAAAATGTGTCTACTATTAAATTATAAATAAGTATTAACATGTGATTAACAAGCTAAAAAATTTGACTATTAAGTATCTTATAGTCTGAAAGAATATATAATTATTAAGACTACATATATTTAAGTTGTATTCAAAATATAATAACAAAAACAAAAGATACATAAAAGATTTAGAAAAAAAACAATTGAGATGAGAGCAATCATTTAAATTATATATGTATAGTACATGTATACGAAAAAATATTAATAATTATTGATTATTATGATCATTATCATTATATTTGTGATAAATTATATTATCTTATATAGAAAACACAATTATCTATAACGTTTTCTCAATATGTTCGTGTCCTAATTTTTTTAAAAGTATAATGTTTACGTGTCCATACCTTATTTATATTCGTGTCCATACCGTATTTATATTCGTGTCCGTGTGTCGTATCCGGCCAGTACTTAGCATGCATCAAGACATCCAAAGATGGAAGGTGCACAATCATTTACAGGCCACTGTCTTCCGAAGGCTTTGCCCATTTTACGATTCTTGTGATGCAAGAGAACGATAGTGGTGGTCCAATTACAATAGAAATTAGAAAGGCTAGTTTTTTTTTTTTTGGGGGGGTGGGACCAAACCCATTTTCACATTTTCGGGTCCACAAGCGTGGGCTTGCAAAATGAACTTGTCTCATTTTCTGCAGACTAAGTTTCCAAAGAGGACCCCAAATCAAATTGGATGCATCAGAAGGTCCAAGTTAAGAATGAGTGTCCATGGCAATACCCACCAGTCATCATCGCAAAATTATTGAGAAGCATGAATCTATATGCATGTCTTCTTCTATGCCTGTTACTTCAGCGCAGCTCACTGTATTCTTTTCATTGCTTCACCAAGTTAGCAAATGCTTAAATGTTGAGGTAGGGGACAATGAACAAGACACTGTTTCATAAGATGTGCTTTTCCCCACAGCTAAACTCATTTTCAGCTAATTCTTTTAGTAATTGCTTGATATATATGGGAGATTGGGGGTGAGTCTGTCAATAGATCCAATTTCGTCCAATCTAAATATGAATTCGATTTAAAATCTCCAATCAAATTCTGATCTGAATATTTGACAAATTTTATTCTCACAATGCATATCCGAAAAATAAAAACTTGAAAAAAGTTTATGCCCGTTTATTATACGAGACCACGACAGTGAGTAATGATATTGATGAGTTTTATTATGTGAAAACTGGAACCAAGTATAATATGGGTATCTCTTTTGTCAATAGATTCAAGCACAATCTTTTTAGATTATTAAGGACACATGTTATGTATTTTTTTATAAGTAGGTCCAGTAGTCTATTTTTTTTAATTCCCAGAAAATGATTAAAGAGGTCGACTCCTATGGCGATTGGTTCATCGATTTGCATGAGTTCATCGTCCTGAACACCAAGGACATTGATTCCAACTGGATTTTGGAGAATTTGAAGGACGTTTTCTTGGTATTTGACATCGACAAGAATGAGATGATATTGGCGGAGGAGTTGTAGAACGTTCTCAAAAGCTTAGGAGAAGAGAGCTCGTTGGCTGAGTGCAAGAAGATGATCAGTGAGGTTTATTCAAATGGCAATGGGATCTCACATTTTGATGTTATTGGATCACAAAGACAAACGATCGAATGAATGCTGTTGGATTTGTTTCTTGGTTTTATTGGCTAAATTTTTTGCTACTTGCTTTCTTCAGTTGAAGTTGAGTCATTGACCCACATCAGGGACACGAATACCAAAAGGTTCGTATGGAAGAGTATAGTGACGAGATTTGGGATCTCTCATGCGCTTATATTGGATAATGGGACTCAATTTAATAGTTGACCTTTCAGATCTTTTTGTGAGCATCTTGGAATCCGAAATTACTACTCTATGCCTTTGTACCCTCAAGCCAACAAACAAGCAAAGTCTTCAAACAAAACTATCGTCAACGGAATTAAGAAGAGACTAGAGAAGACTAAGGAAAAATGGATGGAGGAGCTTCTGAATGTCCTTTGGTTTCATAAGACGACTCCAAGCGAGACACCTTATGCCCTCGCCGACTTGGAATTTTTAGGGGTTCATTCTTAGAAGTAGTTATCCCATTGGAAGTTGGTTTTCCCACTTAAGGACGCAAGCTTTTGATACGGGAAAGAACGATCAGCAACTCAGCCTAAATTTGGATCTCGCAGAGGAAAAAAGAGAAATGACTGCCTTGTAGTTAGCAAAATGCCAAACGGGGTGGTTCAAACTCTACAATAAAAGAGTGAATCCCCGAAAATTTTAAGTAGGCGACTTGGTGTTCAGAAGAGTAGATAGGAGTACTCGCGACTCGGTCGATGGGAAGATGAGATCTAATTGGAAGAAACCATACAAAATCATATTAGTGGGGGGTTCCAGATTGTACAAACTAGAGGATATAGAAGGAAATGTCGTACTTCGGCCCTAGAATGTAATGAATCTTAAAAATTACTATTTTTGAATGGAAGAACTTATTTTTGCTAGGTACGTTGTCTAGAAAGGGGTCTGGCCCCGGGGGCAAAGTCTCTAGGAAGACCCTTGCCCCAAAAGAAGTAAAAGGAGCAAGGCCTCCTAGAGAGGTACAAGTCTTGGGTTCAGGATTGCCAAGTACATCAATCCTCGACGTAGAAAGACAATGCCTCAGATTTAAGGCTATTGCAAAGTGCATCTTGACTCTAACAAAGAAGGGAAAATGCCCGGACCTTTCTCGTGGTCGGAAAGGCTAGGACCTCAGCTCCCAGAGGAGGCATGGCCTTGGGAGAAGATGCGACCAAACAAGTACTTGTAGAAGAAAATGTTTATATATTCAAAATAAAGAAGGCTTTGCATCCCTCAAGCTACAAAAATCGAACAAGTAGTCAACACTAGCTCCTGATGTCTACCTCAACGTCGCCAAAGAATTCATCAACACTAGCAAATAAGGAATCGGCGCTCTAAGGGATAGGAATAGTGTCGGCACCACTGGAGCATCGATGGGAAAACAACTACACGAAGGGACATGACCTTCAAGTCCTTTCATCTTCCTCCGTCACGTCATCCAATTTATATGAAGATCAAGGGTTGGGGGGCAGTTGATGGAAAGTTTCTATGATCAAAGGGGACGCGACACGTATCCCCGACATCTTGACCGCAAAGTGTTCTCTGAATGACATGTGTCATTAGCATCTTGTCCGCGGAGTGTTCTTTGAATGACACGTGTCCTCGACATCTTGTCCGCAAAGTGTTNAAATCATATAAAATCTGTATGTCTTATTTTTTCTTGTTTCTCACTAATTTATGTTTTTAATTTATTTTTTGATTGTGTGTGTTTGTTTATAGATTTAAAGTACANTAGTTAGCAAAATGCCAAACGGGGTGGTTCAAACTCTACAATAAAAGAGTGAATCCCCGAAAATTTTAAGTAGGCGACTTGGTGTTCAGAAGAGTAGATAGGAGTACTCGCGACTCGGTCGATGGGAAGATGAGATCTAATTGGAAGAAACCATACAAAATCATATTAGTGGGGGGTTCCAGATTGTACAAACTAGAGGATATAGAAGGAAATGTCGTACTTCGGCCCTAGAATGTAATGAATCTTAAAAATTACTATTTTTGAATGGAAGAACTTATTTTTGCTAGGTACGTTGTCTAGAAAGGGGTCTGGCCCCGGGGGCAAAGTCTCTAGGAAGACCCTTGCCCCAAAAGAAGTAAAAGGAGCAAGGCCTCCTAGAGAGGTACAAGTCTTGGGTTCAGGATTGCCAAGTACATCAATCCTCGACGTAGAAAGACAATGCCTCAGATTTAAGGCTATTGCAAAGTGCATCTTGACTCTAACAAAGAAGGGAAAATGCCCGGACCTTTCTCGTGGTCGGAAAGGCTAGGACCTCAGCTCCCAGAGGAGGCATGGCCTTGGGAGAAGATGCGACCAAACAAGTACTTGTAGAAGAAAATGTTTATATATTCAAAATAAAGAAGGCTTTGCATCCCTCAAGCTACAAAAATCGAACAAGTAGTCAACACTAGCTCCTGATGTCTACCTCAACGTCGCCAAAGAATTCATCAACACTAGCAAATAAGGAATCGGCGCTCTAAGGGATAGGAATAGTGTCGGCACCACTGGAGCATCGATGGGAAAACAACTACACGAAGGGACATGACCTTCAAGTCCTTTCATCTTCCTCCGTCACGTCATCCAATTTATATGAAGATCAAGGGTTGGGGGGCAGTTGATGGAAAGTTTCTATGATCAAAGGGGACGCGACACGTATCCCCGACATCTTGACCGCAAAGTGTTCTCTGAATGACATGTGTCATTAGCATCTTGTCCGCGGAGTGTTCTTTGAATGACACGTGTCCTCGACATCTTGTCCGCAAAGTGTTCTCGGAATGACATGTGACCTCGGCATGATTGACTGCCAAGTGTTCTTTGGATTACACATGTCCTCGGCATCTTGGCCGTAGAGTGTTCTCCAAATGACACGTGTCCTTTACATATTGGTCGTGGAGTGTTCTCTGAGTGACACGTGTTTTCAGCATCTTCGATGCATAGTGTTATCTGAATAACACATGTTCTCAACATCTTGGCCATGGATTGTTCTCTGGATGACATGTGTCCTTGGCATTTTGGCCGTGGAGTGTTCCCTGAATGATACATGTCCTCGGCNCCAATCCCCGACGTAGAAAGACAATGCCTTAGATTTAAGGCTATTGCAAAATGCATCTTGACTCTAACAAAGAAGAGAAGATGCCCGGACCTTTCTCGTGGTCGGAAAGGCTAGGACCTCAGCTCCCAGAGGAGGCATGGCCTTGGGAGAAGATGCGACCAAACAAGTACTTGTAGAAGAAAATGTTTATATATTCAAAATAAAGAAGGCTTTGCATCCCTCAAGCTACAAAAATCGAACAAGTAGTCAACACTAGCTCCTGATGTCTACCTCAACGTCGCCAAAGAATTCATCAACACTAGCAAATAAGGAATCGGCGCTCTAAGGGATAGGAATAGTGTCGGCACCACTGGAGCATCGATGGGAAAACAACTACACGAAGGGACATGACCTTCAAGTCCTTTCATCTTCCTCCGTCACGTCATCCAATTTATATGAAGATCAAGGGTTGGGGGGCAGTTGATGGAAAGTTTCTATGATCAAAGGGGACGCGACACGTATCCCCGACATCTTGACCGCAAAGTGTTCTCTGAATGACATGTGTCATTAGCATCTTGTCCGCGGAGTGTTCTTTGAATGACACGTGTCCTCGACATCTTGTCCGCAAAGTGTTCTCGGAATGACATGTGACCTCGGCATGATTGACTGCCAAGTGTTCTTTGGATTACACATGTCCTCGGCATCTTGGCCGTAGAGTGTTCTCCAAATGACACGTGTCCTTTACATATTGGTCGTGGAGTGTTCTCTGAGTGACACGTGTTTTCAGCATCTTCGATGCATAGTGTTATCTGAATAACACATGTTCTCAACATCTTGGCCATGGATTGTTCTCTGGATGACATGTGTCCTTGGCATTTTGGCCGTGGAGTGTTCCCTGAATGATACATGTCCTCGGCGCTACAATCCCCGGAGCATTCTCTGATCAACACGTGTCATCGACATAAAGTCATTCGTTCTGATGTGACATGGACAACTATTTTGACAGTTATTCCCTGTCAAATGATGATGTTAAATTCCCAAAGAAAAGGGGGGATGTCTGTTGATGCAATCATACCCACAATTAAGGTCAAGCAGAGTATCATTACATGGGAGTGGAGTTAGCTATCAATCATCAATCACCTTTCCCAAGGCAGCCAGAATGGTTGCAAGATTATTTAGCAACTAATGAGGAAGACGTACGAAGTACAAGTTATGTAATTCCTAATCCCTTGGGGGGGGGGGGGGGGGNTTGGTATTTGACATCGACAAGAATGAGATGATATTGGCGGAGGAGTTGTAGAACGTTCTCAAAAGCTTGGGAGAAGAGAGCTCGTTGGCTGAGTGCAAAAAGATGATCAGTGAGGTTTATTCAAATGGCAATGGGATCTCACATTTTGATGTTATTGGATNGCACATTAAATAATCCCACAGAAAGATGAGACATATTTATTTCTCGACAAAGTTAGAAAGGTGAATATTAAATGCTCGGGGATCCGAGCATTAAATGTTCCACATGAAAAGGAAGACGTTATGCTCAAGATCTGTGCACCACATGTTGCCTTCCAAGTGAGCCAATGAGGAATCTTCCCCCCAAGGGACATAGTTGTCCATAATGATTAACTTTAGGGGGGTATAAATGATACTCTCAAGCTCAAGGCTAAAGTACGCAAACCTAATCCAAGCAATAGAACAGTGTTTTCTAAACTCTCTCTTACATACTGACTTGACCGTCGAAGAGGTCACGCCGAAAAACACTCTGGCACTCTGCTAACCCTTTTTTTTTTTTCAGTGACAGGACTATGTTCAAGGACTTACGAGTGAGCAGATCGTTCGTAAGGAGTTTCATTACCATTTATTACAATTTCTCAATATCCATTTGTTATGGAACATTCGATTTTCCATGCAAACTCGAGTTTATTAGGTGAGAAATCTGTCAATTTGTTCATTGTGGCAGAATCATCGCGTACAGGCACTAATTTTGAGGTTACNATGGAACATTCGATTTTCCATGCAAACTCGAGTTTATTAGGTGAGAAATTTGTCAATTTGTTCATTGTGGCAGAATCATCGCGTACAGGCACTAATTTTGAGGTTACACATCTTGATTAGGGTTTTTTTAGATAGAATTTTCGAAAGCTTAGGAAGATGATGAGTGTTCCACTCTAGAAATTAGTGGACCAATGCTCATTCAAATATCATACCAAAAATCCAAATCCCTATGACTACCCATACCCATTATGGAATGAAGCCTGTGAGTAATACCCTTGGGCAAATTTATACGAGCCATAATATGAACAAGTATAACATTCAAGCTATCTCTGTGTTTTCTTTTTTTTTCTTTTTTTTTGGCTTAATGTTTACCTCTTTTATAGGTTTTTGAAACTCTATTGTCTTGGATCAGTTTTGCCTCCTTTGCTTTTTGCTATTAAACTATTACAACCTTTACTTTGCTTTGTAATTTCTGGATTTTGCTATTGCAGCCCTATTGTGTTTGACTCCTCTCTGTTTTATAACTTAAATGTTATAATATTAATATGAGTGGTCCACCTTTAAAAAAAAGGTGTTTTATTAAATAAGATTAGGTGTTTTTTTCAAATAACCTAAGGATTTTTTCCTTTGTTTCGGTTTCCTTATGTCTCTCTTTGTTTATCAACTAACAAACTGTTATCATAAAACTGTTCATTTTCTTTNGATTAGGTGTTTTTTTCAAATAACCTAAGGATTTTTTCCTTTGTTTCGGTTTCCTTGTGTCTCTCTTTGTTTATCAACTAACAAACTGTTATCATAAAACTGTTCATTTTCTTTTGTTTGGTTGTGGGATTTTTTCAGGAACAAATTGATTGGGATTCCATTTTTTTATTTTATTTTAATCCAGTCTATGTATGTCACTGATATGGCACTTGTGGTATTTATATAAAGAAGCTCCAAATGATTTTGAACGTTAGTGGCCAGACAATTAACTAACAGCTAACCACAAAATAAAGAGTAGTATGAGAATTATACTTATTTATTATGATGACATCATAATTTTTTAATTGTAATATTAACAGACACTGATAACAGGGGGTTGTGTTATACGTATACAAATTTTAGAGGATGTAAATGTAATATTTTAAATATGAGGGAATCTAACTGATTAAATGATGTAGATATAGATTCAATAAAGGCGATGATTTTTGAGGATTATTCATCCTATGCAGAAACAAATTCCTTGTAAAAAAAAGTGGGGCAAGAATTGAAGCCATTGCAGAGTCTGCTTCACTGCTAGGGATCCAGTTTAGACGTGGAGCAGCACATTGGCTGGCAGCAAATGCAATCACAAGGGATTAAATTCACCATATAATAGAAAGAACTAAGCAATTGAAGTCAGAAAGCTGTAGAGTGGGGCATAAGTACAAAATAATTTTATAATATTTAGAATATAGGAATATATATATATTGCCCCTTTGTAGTTCCGCCTATGCCCATAACCCGAGAAAATATTGAAGATAACACAACATCGCATTACCATTGACACGTGATGTAACCAAAAAATAATAAACCAACATATAAACAAATAAACCCTATTTAATTTAGTTACTACAATATCTATATAAAAAAATAACCATCATATGTAAAGACGTAGAATTCACTTTGCNAATTACCATTGACACGTGATGTCACCAAAAAATAATAAACCAACATATAAACAAATAAAGCCTATTTAATTTAGTTACTACAATATCTATATAAAAAAATAACCATCATATGTAAAGACGTAGAATTCACTTTGCCTACGTACAAGTTTGGTATTGGATTGTAATACCAAGTAACAATAATATCATAATATTATTGTTACACCCAATAATTACTCTCAATATGCTGCATGAAACAGCTGGCTTAATGAGCAGAAGAGAGGACATTAACCAATACACTTTTNATACCAAGTAACAATAATATCGCAATATTATTGTTACACCCAATAATTACTCCCAATATGCTGCATGAAACAGCTGGCTTAATGAGCAGAAGAGAGGACATTAACCAATACACTTTTAGCTCACAAATAGGAGTTTTCCAATTATAAGCCATTGAGAACAGACCGAGGTATATGCTGCATATGCATATACACTCAACCAACCGCCACATACCTAAGTCTTGTGTTGATGGAGGGAAGAAAATAGGGGATGGAGCAAAACAAAAGAAAAAGATGACATTTAAAAGTGAACAAAATTCTCTGNCCGAGGTACATGCTGCATATGCATATACACTCAACCAACCGCCACATACCTAAGTCTTGTGTTGATGGAGGGAAGAAAATAGGGGATGGAGCAAAACAAAAGAAAAAGATGACATTTAAAAGTGAACAAAATTCTCTGATGTGAATCCCTTTTTTAATTAACATAAAGCCCCATAAAAACCTGAGGATAACAAATAAAATTTATCAAATACAAGTTAAAAGGGACTGCAACTAATTTCGGTCTTAATTATTTTTGCAGTCACCGATGGCTCAGCTTGCGCTTCTTTGCCTCTCTTCTCAACTGCTCCCGTCTTTCTTCTTCTTCTGTCTTGAGAAGTTCTTCTTCATCCTCTCTTTTTGCAATCATTGCACTGAATCACAAGACATCAAGAACATTTTTTAGAAAAAAGAATGTTACAGGGAAGAGAATTAGTCATATATAAATACAAAACATTAATAAAATAAAACATANATTTTTAGAAAAAAAAATATTACAGGGAAGAGAATTAGTCATATATAAATACAAAACATTAATAAAATAAAACATATTTTCACACAATAACATACCCTTGTTAACAAGAACGAAGTCCACACATTAATATTTATACATAATTCAACAGCATATTCACATGATAAGCAATCCAACATGGATCAATTCCTTCATATTCTTTTTTTTTTTTAATCACATCTCTATTTAATAAAGCAAATTCTGCACATGATATTGATGCGCAGCAAACATAAATACCTCTATTCTGTGCTTTTCAATTTTTGCTACACGCTTGGGTTATAAAGATGGTCCAGTTCGTTTCTAAACTAACTCCATGTTTTTGAAAATGGAAGTTTCTTAAAAGGAACATGCATGAGGTCATACGTAAAGCAAGTTGACAGTGGAAAGTCGTGCAAATGTGAGAGTCTGAGCCAGGGAAAAGAGGGTATTACATTGGGAATAATATGAAGGAGAAAACCAGGACACAACAGATCAAAACGGAAAGGGAAAAAACAGACTAAACTGGCACTTTAAACACTAGATTGCCAGCTTCAGAACTCCTTTTGGCAATTACATTGAGCTAAGATGAGCAAGTTCATGGAAACGAACACCAAAGCATGTGCAAAAACTACAAAAGAGCATTTCAGCTGAGCTTCAAAGATGTTACTCACCTCCTTTTCTCCTCCCTCAAAATATCGTCAAAACCAGCCTCCATGTCACTGTCATCATCATCATCACGATACTTGTTGGGATTATACCTGCAAAAATCACCACACTGCTCATCACACAATTGCTCATAACAGATCTAAGAGTGACACAAATTTGAAAAGTGTTTCATCCACAAATTTCAAGGAGGAAAACCCTATGATACCAACGAGAAGATGGAGGATACTAAAGAAATTATATTGCAAGTTTAAGGTCAAATGATTAAATAAGCAACACAGAGCAATAGCCTTCAAATTAGATCAAACAAGCTCCAAAACAACACCCAATACCCACCAAAAAAGAAAAAGACAGAGAAAGGGGGAAAATGAAGAAAAATAATATTTTAATCCACCCCCAGTATTGTGAACTAAGACCTTTATATCTGGGTCCCAACAGGAAAAATTAGTTTTAGAAAATGATATTCTGGGTAAAATAACTATATCAAGTGCAATGAGTGAAAAAAATGCTTCTGGAACATGTTCATAAGATCTAGAAACCATTTCTCAAAGCTGCAAAAAGGAAAAAAAATGTTACAACAGAGTTGAAATAAAGACTAGTACTGCACTGAGTATAACTTTAATTTATTCAAGTTATCGTTCAGGGCAGGGTGGAGCCAAAAAATTGTTCTAGGTGGGCACTTTAACCCAGAAACTTAAATTTTTGTTATTCCACATGCTAAAGGGTCCACGTCGATATACATATCGTTTACAAATAAAAATAACAAAAAGAAGTTAATTGTAATCATTTATATAATTCATCCCGGCAAGTTTTGCAACATTAAAAGCATTGCATGATAACTTCATTATCAAAACTACGGAGAATGTTTTTCTCCTCATAAACAATCAAATCCCTCTTTCAGTTATACAACTTAGTCCTCACAATTTTCATAACTTAAAAAATAAATTCGACATATCAAAAACTTATCTAGATGTGTTTGTAAAGTGTTCAAAGTGAGTCCAAAAATTCATATATATGTAGGTATTGGTTTATATTACTTAATAGGACAAGCAAATTATAGGGTGGGCACCATGAAATATATCAAAAAACATTTGAAATATATACAGGTAATAATTTTTAAAAAAAAAAACTTCAGGGTGGGCCCATACCCCCCTTGGCCCACTACTGGCTCCGCTCAGCTAGCCAAAATCGTTAAACCATAAGATATTATTTAAAATTTGGAAAAGGTACTGAAGAAGAGAGAAGGCACAATTACCCAAACATGCTCCTAATCATACTGATTGCTTTTCCACCATCATCGTCATCATCATCATCATCAGGATACTGTCTAATGGGTTTTTTCTTTGGACGCTCCCCTTGTAATGAAGCACGAGCTGAAATCTTTGCTGGTGGTTGCTTTACCTGTCAAGATTCCATGCAAACACCAAATGATATTGCTATACCATATTTCAAGAACATATGTACACATCTATGGCTTGAGCAGGTAGAGCAGCTATTTCTTTTGTTTAGGGTAAGAATGAACACAATTGTATACATGCACATGTAACCATGCATAAAGGAAGTAAGGATTAGACCTGAGGTTTTGAGGCTGCCGCTGGTTGTTTGGGCCTTATCTTAGATTCTTGAAATACCTTTTTGTGTACCAAAGGTTGATTTGAAATCGAAGGCTGCAACTTTGACGGGGCAGGTTTGTACACACTAGGCATGCAACTCTTTGCATTTGGCATGGAAACCTTCTTTTCTGTGGTGGCTCCAGAAATCTTTGAAGACAATCCTTTTGGTCCTAATGGCCGACCAGGCCCACTGCCTTTATTACTACCCCTTGGAATTCCGAAAGGCACTTCTTTCTGCCCTGAAGATCGACCAGGCCCACTGCCATTGTTACTACCCAGCTGTTTCCGGGTGTCTGCTGATGTCTGATTCAGTTTACTGGTGGATGCCAATTTGGGAGTTCCCATTTTAGATTGCATTTGGCAGCCTATCGGAACAGGTTTCCGTCCCTCACGACCATTGAGAACTTTTCTGCCAGTATTGCTCAATGACTGTTTGTTCTTTGGTACCTCTTGAATTGGTCGTGCATCTTCAACATTAACAAAAACAAATAAAAAAAATACTACATAAGTTTTCCCAATGACAAGAGTATGTGTTGAGCCTTCGAATAACGAACCAGATATGGTACACTAAAGCAGCAACTCACCTGACTTTGGAACAGAGACACTGCGAGGTAGAGGATCTTTTGCAGGAGCTGGAAGCTCTGCATCATCCGATAACAGAAACGAGTAATCCCTTGTATTTTTAAGCATCTGAGCTTTTGTTTTTAGCTGAGAAGATAAACAAAATATTACATCATCTGTATAAGAACTAGATGCAAATACTTCAAGCTCACATTACAAATCAACAATATAATACAGGAAAACACATTACCCCATTTGTGACTTTCCTGGGGTGGCCATTCGTTTGAGGCTTCGATCTTGCAGGGGTAGAAGAAGAGCCCTTATTGTTCTGCATTGGCCAGGTTGGATCATTAACTGATAAGCCACGTCTTTTTTTTGGTCAGAATAAATCACGTCTCAAACATAGTTAAGTGTGTAAATTAATTTATAGAGCATCTGCATTCTGCACACATTTCCACCAAAAAGTACATGCAAGATTTCTTAAGCAGTAAGAGTAAAAAGTCCACTTAAGGAATTTGAATAACATAAACTAGGCTGAGTAGACTCATAACTGAACTGAGCAAATGTTGACCAAACAACTTGGATTAACTACATGGATCTTGTTTCACCATTCTACCATCTGAGATCAAGCTACTGTTCAATCTCCCTAACCAATACAGTTCTTTGATTGCCATTGCACAAGTCTAACCACCTAACTTGATTCTATCTATATTGTGTCTTACTCTTTACCATCAGACAAAAACTTTCATTTTTGACCTCCTTTCTTATTTCACCATCCTTCCATCTTCACACGCACATTGTAACCACACCAAATCTGAGAGTTCCTTCCAAATTATTATAGGATGGCCCAATCATAGCCTCTACAGATCAAAAGGTAAAACTATTTGACTACCTGTAAGCAAGGTGTGAGCCTCAAAATAGAGAGGCAAGCATCACAAACTTATATAGTAAAGAACATATCATACCACAAATCACAATCCTTCGGGGTTCCAAAAAAAAGTATATTCACCCTCCCCCATGCTCCCCAAAAAACCCACCCTAATGCAAAAACAAGAATTATAACTATGACACTTATCCAGAATAACATTACAGAAAATATTGAAGACAACAAAATGTGCATGTTTCAACAAATCAAAAAGGTAGAGAATATCATAAAATATAAAAATGGCAATATTTTATAAAGTGTTGTTGCAGCTTAATCATTGTTAAGGAAGAGGCAATCTTAGATGGATACTGGAGCATCAAACATAAGTCTTTAAAAATACATAGATGTGAGGAGCTTAACATCAAATTAGCTAAAAAAAATGATTAGTAAGGGAAAAACAAATCATGCCCAACATGGCTGAGACAAATCAGGGATACTAGTAAGGATCCTACATTTTCAAGGCATACACCAACATTTATGATCTGGCTGACATTCTCCTGTTTCCCTGAACGTCTCACAACACAGCAAGACTTATATGGCCAACGTACACATTATCATTTCAAAACAAAATTCCCAATGAAAATCATTATATGTTGGGTCCAAGGATCAGAATTTCGCTTCGAAACAATTGAAACGTCCAAATCGTTTCTATTTTTAAGGAGACCGAAACGACTCAGTAATGAAATCAAAATTCTAATATTTCAACGTATTCCATAATGTTTTGAAATGTTTTATAATATTTTAATGCATTTGCACAATTGTTTTGAAATGTTTCAAGGTATTTTAAGATATTTTGATATATTTCGACCAATATTTTAAAAAAATAATTCTTAAATTTTTTATTTTTTTATTAAGNTTTGATATATTTCGACCAATATTTTAAAAAAATAATTCTTAAATTTTTTATTTTTTTATTAAGATTCCGAAATGAGTCGAAACGTTTCCGAAACACGTCGAATCGTTTCCGTTTTCTAGGTGACCGAAATAATAAACCAAAACAAAATTTTGATCCTTGGTTGGGTCACAAACCTCTAGGAACATGTATATACAAGGTTGAGACTAGGGCACACACAGATTTGCACATACTAAAGCCAAAGATTTTTTATACATACCCCATGGTTATTGGTCTTAGAAACCTTTGCCGCCAAATGAGGGTTCTCTAACAATGACTTGCTTTCTTGAATTACTCTTTGGGAAATAACTGCCTGTGAAGGCCCAAAGAATGATCCATAACTGCACAAAATAATAAAGTGGATGAGAATAGTGAGATCAAAACAAAAAATAGAACTCGGGAATTGAAGATTCTATAATTACGGAGAGAGAGATGATAACTGCTTGCAGCTATACAAAAACAAAAGCCTGTAAGGCACTTTCATGCATCAGTTGACCATGCTGTCCCTGGCATCACAATATGTTCAAAAAGGCCTTTAAAATTTCACTCGCCAGTACACAAGTAAAATATAAAAATGGAACTAAAACCTCAGAACCAGCTATTAATAACAAATTTCGAACCACATTAATTTGGTCGATCTAAGTCTGTAAAATAAAAAAAAAATGATGTTTTTTTTATATCTGAAATAAATAAAACACATATGGCAAATAGTTGCACCACAAGATACAGCAGACAAAGTGATAACATCGTAACAAATTTGTATCGGACTTGACTAATTTATTGACAAATGTGATCCAAACATGAAAATATCACTCCAACCCAGTAAAATCTAATGAGAATAGTGTCCCTAGGTTTCCAAAGTGAGGATGGGTACTACTCACTTGTTATAGGGAAGTCTATTCTTCTTCTCCTGGGAATTTGCAAGGGTGGAACCAGATTCCTTCTTCATCTGCTTTCTAATGGATTCTTTTAATCGCTTCCTCAATTCAAGGTATTCCAATTCCTCCTGTGTGGGCTGGGGAGCTTCTTCCTCTTCACATGCCTCCTCTTCTTGCTCTTCACTCTCCTCTTCGTACTCATCCAAATCTTCATACTCCTACATAACAAAAACTTATGTCACACACACACACACACATATATATGCACAAAAAAAAAAGAATCAAACAAATTGTGGAGCAGCAAGATGAAATACAAAATTGCTTACATCTCTATCATATCTCTGCATTGCTGATTTCAATCCTCTAACATAAACGTTTGGATGGCCTTTCTGCACAAAAACAAGGCACACCAGATGTGAAGGAAAAAACAGAAACTGAAAACTGAGAAAATTATCAATAGAATTTTGTTCGGGTTCTCACTCCAAAATTCAGAAAATGAAGAGCTGTGCGAACCTAAAAACTATGATTAGATTAAATTGGTCCGTTTCAACCCCGTCCCCAATGAAATCCAGAAAATTCATATACAAACCAAACTACATCAGTCAACAATAAAATCGGATCCTTTACCCCAAAAAACATTAACATCTGATCGAAGATATCAGAAACAAATCATAAAGTATGCATCTTCCGATGAAACGCACAAAGGCAAACCCCGATTTTATGAAATTAGCCCTTTTCAACCCAATTCCCAATGAAATCCATACATGAAAATCCATTCACAAAACGTAATAAATCAATCGACAATAAAATCGGGAAAAAAATTGTGATTTTTTAAGAAAAAACTCAATTACCTGATTTTTACCTGATTTGATCTGAAAAATCGATGAAATCGGACCGATTTGGGGGATTCCAAAGCGAAAAACAACCGAGATCGAGCGTCGATGACAATAGATCGAAACGTAGAAATTTCAGATCTACGGAAACGCCTGGTCGTCGAGAAGGTCGATAGGACTATGGCTTTATCGTGAATTCGGGAATCGTAGTGGACGAGTACTCCAGCAAGATAAGGGCGTAGAGGAGACGCGGAATTTGGAAAGACACAGAAACAATGGGGGTGAGTGCTATCGTGCGCGATAGGTGTAAAAAGCGCGCACCCGGATACAGTTTCGAGTCTCCAGGTTCGAACGTGGTTTTTGGTTTGTAGCCAAGGGTTCGAGCCATTGTGAGGACACATGTCCGTGGAATAATTGCCCATTGGCTTCGCTTTAGGTCCCGCAAAAAAAATCCAAAGTGTAATGGGCCGCCCACAGCTCGAAAGCCCAACGGCCTAATGGGATGCCCAGCCCGTACACGTTGTAGGGCATGCGTAGTCTGCTAGCCCGACGGGTGGGACCTGGATTGTAATTTTTAGGGTTGGGGTCCGTTGAGACGACCCATTAAGAAGCTCATTAGCCTAATAGAATATACCCATTGAAAGAAGATAATTATATTATATTTCATAAATGTATTGTTTATTTAATATTTGATTTGTAATTTTTATAAGGTTGAAGCTTGCAAATAATTAAAAATTGTGTAGATATTAACCTAGTTAGGATGTACTCAATTTGTAGTAATACAAAATTGTTTCACTCATCAATCAATTTGCAATATAACATTATAACCCTATATGAATATTTGTTAAATTCAATCAATATGAATAAATTTTTTGTTAATTTATTTTTTCATACCAATTTTATGTAATTAATGTCTTTTTTGTAATTTTTATATAAAAAATAAATTTTTCGATGTCTTTTTATATTTTTTTACATAAAAAGTAATTTTTTAATAAAAAGTCCGGCCTATAAGGTCGGTCCATATTTTGCCTATTTTTAGCTTAATAGGCCGGCCCATAAGAGGGACATGGGCCTTAAAAATTCTTAATGGGGGGCCGACTCGACCCGTTGACTAATGAAAGCCCAAAGGCCATGGGCCGGGGCCTCTGGGCTGAAAAATCCCGGGCCAAGTGAGTTTGTCGAGGCCTACTTCACTTCTCGCTTGCAGTCTGAATAAATAGATGAAAAAGTGGGGGCAAATTCTAAATTAGGTAAACTTGTGTTTTAGCCATCATCACATTTATCATTCTTTGGGTTGGCGATGAACCTCGTAACCTAGCCCAGACAAATCAGACCTTGACTACACTTTTACATGTCCTGCGGAGACTGAGACTAATACACTTACGCTGTGTTTGGTTTGTGGTATTAGAGCGAGGGAATGGAATGAGTATTACTTACTAATGAACATTCATTTGTTTGGTTTGTGATAATCAAAATTCATTTTTATTCCCTTTCTTTCCAAAGGAATAATTAATCCAACAAAATATGGGATTACCAATTACCAATTAAAACATGGTTTTTTTCAGTATTATCAGAATCGGATCGGACAGATCGGTCAGACCGGTTCAACCGTGGATTGAGATCCTAACAGGTCCGATTTCTTAGTTGAACCGCTTAAGGAAGTAAATCGGTTAAAAATCGGAAAATCAGTCGGTTTTTAACAAAAACTGTGAACCGTCGGTTTTATAAAAATTGGACAGTTTAATGCCTATTTAAAAATTAAATTACATAAATAAATTTTTTTACCTTAAATCAGTAAATAACTGATTTTTTTTAACTNTATTTAAAAATTAAATTACATAAATAAATTTTTTTACCTTAAATCAGTAAATAACTGATTTTTTTTAACTTTATTCTTGGATAAATTATAAATGACATCCCCTCTTTTTCTTTATAATTTATTTAAACCTCTTTATGTTGCTTTAAAATACAATAACCCNCTTTATTCTTGGATAAATTATAAATGACATCCCCTCTTTTTCTTTATAATTTATTTGAACCTCTTTATTTTACTTTAAAATACAATAACTCCCACTTTATTACTTAATTTCATTAATTTTATAGCAAATTTTATGTATTTTATACATATTTTATATTTTTTAACTAAATTATTAAGTTTTATAATTATTATATATATTTTTTTATTATATGATCGATTCAACCATTTGATCTAACGGTTGAACCAGTGAACTATTATGATTCACTCATCAATTCGATTATCTGTTTATCTGTCCGATTCAGATAACATTGGTTTTTCCCATTCCCACTNAAATTATTAAGTTTTATAATTATTATATATATTTTTTTATTATATGATCGATTCAACCATTTGATCTAACGGTTGAACCAGTGAACTATTATGATTCACTCATCAATTCGATTATCTGTCCGATTCAGATAACATTGGTTTTTCCCATTCCCAGTGACTTAGTAATGAAGCCAAATTTATAACCACGAAACCCGACTCCTCCCGATCCCAGTTTCGTCGACTTGCACCTCCCTCCGCAAATCTCTCTTCTGTCCCCCACTCCTCTGCTCATCTCTCAACTCTTCTCTACTGAGCCCCATGCCATTCCACCCCTTCTTTCATCCGGCAACACTGGTGGCAACCAAGGGTGTTTCCGCGACGGCAAATCAGCTGTCTTACGCCGCTGAGGCCCACTGAACGACTCAACAGAATCAGTCAAACTATTAAGAGTGGTCCTCTAGGCGATAATCTGGTGCTCCTGAGGAAACAACCACTGATTCACAAAGCGATCGTTAGGGTTTTTATGAAATGGATAGTAAGGATTTGAAGGAGTGGTTAATGGAAAGTTGATCTCGGCCTTGGGTCCCCGAAGCGAAAGAGCAGCGGCGTCGTAGGCTCGAGTTGCATCTTCAGCTGAATCAAAAGTCCCCAGCCAAACCCTAGATTTTTGACTTGGGTCTCTGATCTCTGCAGTGAATCTTCCCTAAGGTCTCTGACATTTTCAATTCAGGTATTTGGTAATGCATTTTCAATAACAAAGTGTTTTACTGCATGACTGCCAGGATAAATCCAATTCCCCTCAACAATTGTATCGGCAAAGCTAATTCTTTGTTTACTCATCTTTTGATGTGTCTACACAATAATTAAATTATGCCCATATGGTCCATAGGGCATATCAATGCTTCTTCAAATTAAGGCCGAAGGATTGCTTTCTTTTCATATTGATAAAAAGGATATGACTTGGGATCAGTCAATTGTGTATATGGTGGGTGACCAACTGATCGTTTTGGACATGGCTTCCAATGGGAAAAAAATTACCACACCTTCTAGAGGAGAAAGAAGAGGCTGCATTTGCTTGATTCTTGGTTGATCAATACGCTAGTTCAAATCCTGGTTGCTTTGATGTGGCATCAGATCTTTTCAGAGCAGTGCTCTTTTGAGACATGCAGAGCTTGGCTCAAGCTCATTTTTCTCATTGGTTGATCGACTATGCATCAATCAACCATTAGGTCACTGTCTGTCCTCATTTGCCTAGTTTAACTTACATTCTCAAATCTGATTCTGTGTTAACATGCTATTTTAAAAATCAACTATCTACCTTGTGAAATAACAATCGTGTACTGGCATAAAATTCTAAGATTTACCATAGAGACAAGACTTGTGTAGTGGGTGCTTGCACGAAGAATATCCAAAATTTGTTTATTTACAAGGTCACTGTATGTGCACAACTTGTGAATCAACATGGAAAACTGGAGGTTTTTGATGATAAGGAATGATGGAGGTAGTTTTGTTGTTGACTGGGTCTAGATAGACTGTAGTGCTTGGAGTGTTTTATGAGGCTGCTATGTTGCTGTTCTGTTAGCTGTTGTGCTGATGTGTGCCTATGTTGCTGAATTGCTTTGCTGCGCTGTGACTGGTTTTAAAGGGGAGAAGAGGCTGCTGCCACGAGTGAAATGAAGGTGCTTTTGGAGCATTTTGAAGGATTAAAGCCTTTTAGCTGTATTGAATGTGTTTAGAATTCTTGTAATTCTTTGATTCTTGTAATTTCTTGATTCAATCAATAAAATTTNATTCTTGTAATTTCTTGATTCAATCATTAAAATTTTCCTTTTCTTAAAAAAAAAAAAAAAAGATAATAATTTTTTATTTTGATTTCTTTTTATTANTGAATGTGTTTAGAATTCTTGTAATTCTTTGATTCTTGTAATTTCTTGATTCAATCATTAAAATTTTCCTTTTCTTAAAAAAAAAAAAAAAAGATAATAATTTTTTATTTTGATTTCTTTTTATTAACCTATTTTTGAAGGAATTTGTTTTCTAATTTTTTAAAATTTATAGGGGTTTAATTTTTTTCAATGGATTCTCATTTTTTCTAATTATAAATTTTTTTACACAACTTTTAAAGGCAATCGCAATCATAAAAAAAATATTAATTGCTACTTAATTATTTTTAGTCACTGTGGATATTTTGGCTATTGTTGATTTCATTCCAATGAAAAATTTGTTTTATCCAAACATAAAAAATTAAATGAACATTTCATTCCAGCACTTAATGCTCAACAACTGTTAAACATTGGAATAGTAATGCACATTTCATTTCATTCACAAGTTTATTTGATTCCTAAACTCATTCCATTCCTACTGAAAAATATTACTGCGTGCCAAACGTAGTGTAACTGACAAGAAAACCCAATTTTTGAAAACTATTAAATAATAATACTTAGTTAAGGTCAAAGTGCTCGTATTGTATAGTGTCAAGTACGATATTTATTGGATATTTAAGGATATGTATCAGATATACTACTTACGTATCAGATAACAACAAAATAATTAATACTTTATGAATAGTTTTATATCAGAGCAATATGTATAATTTTTGAATTTAATCTTAACTTTTCATTTTCAATTCACATATACCATGTATCAACAAAAATTCACACAACATTGAAGACACATGAGTTGTTTTTATAAGTTTTATCCAATGTTAAATGGCAAAAAAACATAAGATAAATCTATTAAATTATAATCTAAAGAACAAATAATTCTAAGCAAAATAACTCAACAAATATTAGTTTTGATTATTTTAATTGGTCACTTCACTTGGTAAATATACCATAAAAATACAAAAATATATATGCTTTTGAAACTAAATTTTTTTTTTGTCAATTTTGCTTATCAATTATTAATTACTAATTAGAAAGATAATAGTTAAAGTAGAAAATATAATTTGTTATAGACGTATCTTAATCGTATTTGTATCTTATTTTTTAAAATTGTATTATATCGTCATATTCGCATCGTATTTTACTCATATCTCGCGTTTGTTTTCTTGTTTCATTGGCGAAGAGCTTATTTTGTATCNTTTCAAGTGTGAATAATAAGTGCAAGAAAATAATATCAGGAGATGGAGAGACATAGGTAATTTATAGTAGTTCGGTCAGCTCGACCTACATTCATTCTTCAATGGCTTTGATTGCCGGGCATTTTATTAACTCAGGGGTGTGGGAGCAGAGAGTACAAACTTTGAGGGAGAGGAGAGAGCGTGCTCAGGTAAAGTATGATCTACCCCCCAAGTGTTGGTGGGGCTTACAATTTATANAGCAGAGAGTACAAACTTTGAGGGAGAGGAGAGAGCGTGCTCAGGTAAAGTATGATCTACCCCCCAAGTGTTGGTGGGGCTTACAATTTATAGTTGCCCTCTTAACAGATTTGGGCAAGATATTAGTAAGTAGTTGGCTAGTTTGTTGGATCTGACGAGCTCTTCTCAACGTGCTAGGCAGCTGCAGTGCTCTCCATGAGATTCGGTCAAAGGATGAGGTGGGGTGTTGACCATTTCCAGGGCAGCGTAGATAGGGCTTTGGATGCCCTTGCTTGCTCCCTTAGCTCCTTCAGCTGCTGAACTTGGCCGGGCTGACCACACTGATGAACTTGAATAGGTTGAGCTGATGAGCTTGACCAAGTTGGTCATACTGGGCTGGATTTGTTGGATCTCTTAGAGACGGACTATAAACTTGAACTGAGTTTATAACATGAGTTGAGCCTTTGGGCTTGGCCCATCAGATTCTCATTTTTTTTAATTATAAATTTTTTTACACAACTTTTAAAGGCAATCGCAATCATAAAAAAAAAATTGTTATTAATTATTTTTAGTCACTATGAATATTTTGGTTAAAGTTGATTTCATTCCAATGAAATTTTTTTTTTTATCCAAACATAAGAATGGAATGAACATTCTATTCCAGCACTTAATCCTAAACAACTGTCAAACATTAGAATGGTAATGTGCATTCCATTCCATTCCCAAATTTAGTCTATTCCTAAACTCATTTCATTCTTACTGAAAAACATTATCGTGTACCAAATGCAGGGTTAATTAAACTTATTACTTTTAAGTTCATCAAGAAAATTGTTTAAAAAAATAATTCATTAGTGAGAAAAAAATATTTCACTGTCCTTCAAAACAATGCTTCAGTTGCCAAACAAGATTAGAAAACTCATAAGAATATCTCCTTTATGCACGACAAAATAAATATTTCCATTAACCAACTCCCTCACTTAACGTTAATTAATAGCTATTGGGTATTTTGTGTGTGTGTGTGTGTGTGTGTGTGTGTGTGTGTGTAAAATAGTTTTAATATGAAAAGGTTCTAAAATTTAGGAGTTTTATAAAAAAATAATATGATATGGAAAAGATCTAAAATTAAATAATTTGAAATTTGTTTTAGTTATGAATTTGGTTACGTATCTCATGTTAGATAGAAAAAGAGTTCTAATATAAGAAAACTCTAAAATTTAAGTGTTTTAGTTATCTACAAGTTAGCAAAACAATATATGGACCTAAATTTCTATTGGACAGTATAAAAGTTAATGATAAATCACATGTTTTTTAAATTATGATTCTTGAAGGAAAAACATTTGTCATATACAGTAAGTAACATAGTGATGCTATACTATCTTTCAACTTTAAAAAATGTTCACTTTTACTGTTACATCTTCAATGAATACTTTGATGACACAATTTATTGTCACACATCCTATATATTTATTCAATATTGATGGGTTAGGCCCAACTAATGCTATAAGTCTAATCTGAATAAAGAATTTAACTAGACAAGATCCAATGAGTTCAGCCCTGTGATACCCCTAAAATCGGGGGTTCTTTGTCAATTCATTGATCACCCATCAACCCGCGCAAATACACGTGGATGCTGCTTAACCCGACACCACGGTACCACCTCCCATTTATCGAGATCACAAAAACACAAACCTGTATACATTTAGTCAATTGACCCACCCGAGGTCCGATATACCACAATTTATACCCCNCATGTGTATAAGTCTAATCTGAATAAAGAATCTAACTAGACAATATCCAATGAGTTCAGCCCTGTGATACCCCTAAAATCGGGGGTTTTTTGTCAATTCATTGATCACCCATCAACCCGCGCAAATACCCGTGGATGCTGTTTAACCCGACACCACGGTACCACCTCCCGTTTATCGAGATCACAAAAACACAAACTTGTATACATTTAGTCAATTGACCCACCCGAGGTCCGATATACCACAATTTATACCCCATTATTGTCCATTTACATTATTTAAATGAGGGAACACATAGCCCAAAAGTCTGGCCAAACATTTGTAAAATTTCAGATTTTTGAAAAACCTACCGGTAGGTTTTGTCCACTATAAAAGTTCTACTGGTAGGTTCAATGTCCTACCGGTAGGTTTTGCCTGTTTTCCTACGATTCTTCTTTCTTTTCATTTCCAATTCATTCCAAAACCAAACCAAACTNTCTGGCCAAACATTTGTAAAATTTCAGATTTTTGAAAAACTTACCGGTAGGTTTTGTCCACTGTAAAAGTTCTACTGGTAGGTTCAATGTCCTACCGGTAGGTTTTGCCTGTTTTCCTACGATTCTTCTTTCTTTTCATTTTCAATTCATTCCAAAACCAAACCAAACTCATATAACATGTATTTGTACATCAAACATAGTTAATACGAGTTCTATTACAATCATTT